AAATCGGTGGTCTCACCAATGTACTGGTTGTCACAATTGTGGCAGCCTCAAATAAGAAAGACTGTGGAAGTTTTCATTGGCAACTTGTCCTTCACATTATCTAAAGCGTTCCCTAGCTTCCATATTCGTACATACATTATGTTGACGTCTGTTGCTTCTATATATCACACAGCATATCTGACTTCCTAACCACAACATAATTCACGTCGTTAAATGTGTGCATGTTTGTCTTGACCACGATTTGGCTCGGCTTAAAGGCCTTCTGATTCGGCTAGAACTACCATTAGCAAGGGCTTGCCAAGCTATGTTATGCATTCACTATTATTATTATTATTATTATTATTATTATTATTATTATTATTATTATTATTATTAATATTATTATTTCAGGGGTGAGACAGCTGCACATATTGTGCATTTTTGATACATTCCCGTTTTCTTGCGCCAAGCTGCTTCGAAAGCATAAAAATCGCGAAAATTGCGAAAATTGTGAAAATTGAAAGGTTCTTTGTTGTGCGTAGCGCGTTCCTCAGGTCGCTGCAGTTTTCGTGTTTACACTGCTGCGTGCGGTCAGTTACGCGTGCGTGTTTACCGTGAGCTAGTAACTGTAAATGTGGAGTCATTTCTCTGCATGCGATGCGTCTCCTGGATGCTCTGGCACGTGCACACGGGTTCTCAAAATGGGATTCCGTGAGCGAAAGAATGCGTGCAACCCATTCCCAGTTTACGCACATTAGTTACTAATTTATTTAGACATGCGAGTTCTCATTGCATTAAAAAAAATTCATCGCTGGCGAAATCCACACATCAATGTTCGCAGGTAGAAAGACTTAGTTATTTGCGAAGCCGTGGTGACTGAACACGCGTCCGAACCATTTTAAAATATGTTAATAGCCACCTCGCCTCTTTATTGGCAACTCATGACGCGTTGGCGATCACGTGGCAATCTTTTCGTGAATGGTGATTTTTCACTGCTTCGTTTTGTTATCCAAACTCTCAACGAGTGCTTTGACAGGTGTCCCGTTCATGTTCAATCGGTGTTTCCGTTGACGGTTGTTCCGCTGTGTGACTTCATTTTCTTTCTTTTATTCCTTCTGTCTTTGCAATAAAACCGGCCTCTGTTACATTCGGCGGTTCATTTGCGTGGACACAAATTTCTTACCTGCGCATTTCTTAAAGCACTGTGAGCACTTTACGCGAGTCGCAGCATGGGTGGCAATCTCAAGTTGATGTACTATCGGGAGTTCTACATCGACGGTGATGATCTACGATATTAAAGAAATAGAACTGGTCTACGTGTGCTGTATTAATAACGCGCAAATGCTTGTGTGGAGAGGCGTTATCTGTATCAGTCACTTATCGTTTAGTGCCATACGCACGCGCTTTACGAGATAGGCGGTGTGGCGAGGTTTCTTGGCTCCCGCCCTGCACTCTTGAAGGTGGTCCTACATGAGGTGGCCGCGTACGGTGGTGCAGTGCACTTTTGTTGTCTGTTAAAGGCTCATGATGCTATCATGTCAGGCTTTTCTTTAAGCGAAGGACCGCTATTACATTACTAAGATCTTGTGCAATCACAGTTTGTGAATTTCTTTTTGAGTGTGATGTGTTTTCCTTCCTAAATGTTTCCAGAGAACCTATTTGCAGCGAAACCTTTTTTTTTAAATATTATTTCACTTGTTTGTTACAAGAGCTAGTAGGTCACGTAAAAAGGTAGTGCAGTTCGTACCTGGCGATATTCTGTTTAAAAATTTCCTTCAAAATGTGTTTCAGTGTTATGTGTATTATAAGCCAATTAAAATAGGCATTGCTGCCCCCATGTTACTAAGAATTTGTATTTTCAAGCTCCCAGGACATATTAAATGTTGCTAACTGCTCCCAAGCAAGGTTCTGCTCTGAATTGAAATTTTGCTACTGCAAAAACTGCTCCCAATGTAGTCTCAGCCGTCTGACCCCTATTATTATTATTATTATTATTATTATTATTATTATTATTATTATTATTATTATTATTATTATTATTATTGGTGATGTAATGGCACACGCCCTCAGCTACACCCTTTTTGCTAGTAGCTCATCTTTCAAGGGTAGAGTTGGGTAGCTTCATCTAAATTTCTCATTTCAGTTTTTTGAAATGGTATTATTAAATCTGTGATCATTTTTAGTCCTATATTCATAGAAGAGTATACAAACAAAGGTAACCCGTCGGCATCTGTGATAAATCTAGGGAATCGAGGGAGATGTTGCGCCCTGACAGATTCCTTCTTGTCAGCACATGTTCAATCGTCATCGCTTCAAATGCTACCCCTAGCTTTCATTTCAGCCATCTGAAAACTTAGTCGAACTCCAAGTGTAAGAGCCCAGAGAAATAAAACATCAACATGCATGTGCTTGTCATGGAAAAGAAAAGAATGAAAGAATGGAAATTATGCAGTAAGGCTTCGTTCTTGTGACGTTAGTCATTTTTTAATGCAAAGCCCACAGAATACCCGAGTATTAGTGTTTTTTTTCTGAGAAGTATATACTAGACGTGTGCAATTTCGGTGAGGATACAAATCAATAGTAAATATGGCAATTCATGTTGCATCAGATCCAATCAAACCCACATCCTAAATAGTTAAGTCAGTAAATATAGGTCGATCTAATCTAATGCACATCCTAAGCCGCGTGGGCTATAACCATTATAGTGACCCAGAATATATTCCAGTGCCGGAACCCACCGGGCTCCAGCGTCCTTCTTTTACACAGACATCATGAGAGAGTGCCACTTCTATGTTTTCTAGCAGCTTTGGCTCCGTTGTAGGACTGTCGGGGGCTTTTTTAAACTTTTAGCCACAGGTGATTCTAACTCGTGTGTTTGCTTTCTGGTTCTTCCAAACAAAAAACAGCCAACTTGCTTGCTCTCTCACTCGGAGATGTCATTTTGGCTAGATATACATTTTTTTTTTTCATATTTACCACACGTGCTCAGAACATTCTGAGCATTTGTGGTACATTTATTTACTTATTTTATTGGAGCACCTGATTTTTTTGTATCACTGGAGGGTCTGTTTCCAGTGCAGAGAGTTTTGCAAACAGACGTGGCGGTCATGGAATTTGCTTCAAATTATCCTGGAAAACCTGGAAAAATCAGGAAATTTTGAAAATGCAACTTGGTAGACACCGTGGGCTGTTTTCAAAGGTGAAATGGGTATTTTGAGGCATCAAGTTCGTTGCAGCAAAATATGTATGGCAGTACATTTTAAAATTTTTAGTTAATTCAATTCTGTTCTTGCCAACTCTTGTTGTCTGGGCGGTGAAAATTCGGAACTTGAATTGTGCCAATTCTGTAGGCATGGCCATAAACACTCAGCAAAGGTGCCTTAATCCCACTATAAATGAACGGTAAGAGCGCGCGCGCGCGCGCGCGCGCGCACGCACGCACGCACGCACGCACGCACGCACGCACGCACGCACGCACGCACGCACGCACGCACGCACGCACGCACGCACGCACGCACGCACGCACGCACGCACGCACGCACGCACGCACGCACACACACACACACACACACACACACACACACACACACACACACACACACACACACACACACACACACACACACACACACACACACACACACACACACACACACACACACACACACACACACACAACTGAATGTACATGCACATGCTCACCTTTCATAAACATGGAATACTAACATGCCCACCTTGGTCCTCCATAAATAAAAGTAACTCAATTGCAAAACAGATGAAGCTATGCAATACATCACACCACCATCTTTATTAGTCAATTTTATGCTAACTGCAGGATGGAGACCTTTGCTAGTGGTGTCTCATTTATCCTTTCATGTGTGAGTTCACTTCGCTCTCTTATAGCAAATGTTTTGATGTCATCAGCCCACATCGCTGCCGTCCTTGGCTGAGTTGCCCTTTCGTCGGTATCCACTCCGTTGCTCCAACTGACCGCTGGCTGTCTGTCCTATACATTACAAGTCCATCCCCTTGTACTGTCTTTCGATCTCTTCATGTTATACCTCTTATTTATCGTTCCATTGTATGCTGCATGGTCGTCAGCACTTTTTTAAGTTTCTTTGCAATTCATGCAAGTTTCTGCCCCACTTTTTACCATTGGCAGAATGCAATGATTATATACTACTGTATTTCTTTGAGTAGATTGCAAGTCATAACTTATAATTGTCGTGCCAAATGTGCTCCTGCTCATTCTTACTCTGAAAACTTCCTTTACTTGAATAGGCTCCTCTGCTTGTAATCAACCTGGATATACATACTCTTGTACAGATTCCAAATTCTAGACGAGAGTCCTGAGCTCCCATTCTCACAGTAGGCCGGCAAGCATTATCGTGGTCTTTTGCATGCTTATCTTGAAGCCCAATTGAACAATTTGCCGGCTTAGATCCTCAGTCATTTGTCATTGGCATTAGGAAACGGCATCATCTGCAAATAGGGATATTTTGAAGTGCACAAACCAAGTGACATGGAGCATGAAATAAGAAGGTCATAAGCCATTCAACCTAATGGCCAGTGAAACTGGGATAGTGTACGACATAGTACCACTGTCTTGTAGAAAATCGTTCACTTGGCAAAAGGGCCATTGTCTAAACGATTGGTTGCAAGAGCATGTATGCACTACCCCTAGCATTGTAGTGAAATTGTAATTTCAGATTAATTCCAGCGTTTGAGGCATGAGATTTGTTTTTATGAAAAAGGTTGCTGTTGCATTTACCGGGACGAAACTGTCACTTTTGTTGAAGACTCTTGAACGTTAAGCGTGAGGCTGCAGGACCAATTCTTGGCCGCAAAAGTCGCAATTCAATGAGGCCGGTGCAAAAACTCTTCTTTGATTCACTCAAAGAAAACCATGTAATTTAAATATTGAAGCCCGGTATTAGAGTCTCTCTTGTAGCCCACAATGAAGCACCATTATTACGTGAACAGGGTAGGATATTCAGTTCACACACTTGGCCTCCACGCAGCTCATTGCTGAATAAGATGGACCAGCTGAAAATGCCACCGGCCGAGCAGGAACGGGTATGCCGGACGCTGCGTGCCATGTTGGCCTGCCTGCACGAGCGTACCTACATGGACAACCTGCGACGACTGCTGACGGCAAAGGGACGCTTTTCGAACCACTTCCAGCACGTGTGGCACGAACAAAGGGAGCTCTGGGCCGGCTTTCGCCGGTCAGGCCTCGTGCCCTGGTGTGCAGGGGTCAACGACCGCGTCGAGGCGCTCGTCCAGTTCCAGCAGGTGCGCCGCACACACCCACCCATGCCCGAATTCGTGTCATTTAGTGCAGCAGTATCTGTCCGATTGATGGCAGCCCTTCGGCTGGTTGTTATGTCTCATTCTTCACTTCACAGCAGTGTGTACATACAGTTTGCAAACCGATAAAGATAGGCTTCGTAACATGTTAGACTGCCGCTTCAAGTGATCCTGACCTTCAACTTTTCTACTTCAAACCGACTCTCAAACACCACTCTTCGAGCTCCAAAATTTGCTCCATATCCTAAAGTAGGTGGACCACCATCCCTCATTAACCATTCCCTGTTTTAATGTATATAGTAGTGTGTAATGCCTTATTTGGCATTTGCTTGGGTGCTTCAGAATCGTACTACTACTTTTGTTAAGTATTTATTAATTTTGTATTTTTTGTTTGTATCCATTGCTGTACTTGCTTATGGCTCTTATTTCAAGCTGGGGATGTCTGCGATTGAATAATCACGTTTCGTGGAATGCCCTGCAGGCGGTGTGCAACCAGTCTCGCAGCCTGTGCGAGGCCGTGTGCAACCTGGCTTACGGGGCGCACGGCGTACTTGCCCAGACCACCACCGAGGCCATGCTGGACGAGATCCGAGAATACCACGTCCAACTGCTCGACTATGAAGCACACCTCGTCGCCGCCTGCTGCGACTACGCGGCCGTCCACGTGCTGGTGCAGCTACGCATCTCGCGCTCACACAAGTTTTCGGTGCTTGCCTCGGGTTCGCACCTCGTGGTCAACTCCATCGCAGGCAAGGGCACGATGCCCCTGGGGAGCTTCGCCTGCGACTGCACCTTCCGCCAGACTTACCGGCTACCCTGTGCACATGCCTTTGTTGTGGCACATGCCCGCAACATAGAGATACCGCTCGACGAAGTGGCGCAACGGTGGAGAAGGTCAGTGGCTCGACTCGTTGTCATGCTTGCACAATGTTGATTTTACTGCATAGAATTCAATCAAAAGGGCCTGGGACGTTTAAAGGGCTTCTTTTAACTAGGCCCTGCAGCAGATTTCAGGGCTGCAAATAAATGAGCACAGCACATAGGTTCTGTGACCGCAATGGTGGTTGCATTGTATGGAATGGCCGTGTGACCAGACAATGCTGTGTGCACTTCCTTTCAAGTGAGTTCCACTTCGCTCCGCTTAATCTGCCCAAACGCCTCTGAGTCGTGTACATTCGTTGCAGCGTCACTGACCATGGCATATAGCTCGAGCTAAACGTCCAGTGTGAAACGCTCGATGCCCCCTCTGGAAATATACAGTCGGCCACAATAGTTTATGGACGATACGAGCACATGGCCGAAAGCCTCTTCACGACACTTCCGTTACATGAGCAGCGGCCGACAGCACCGCAGCGCCCTGAAAGCATCCCTTTCCTAATTGATGGCCTGTCTCTTTTTTGACTGGGTATGATTAATTTCCTGCCTCTTGCTTTTCAATGCAACGTGCTTCTGGCATCTGCGTCTACGAGGTTCTGCCTGGCCAGCAGTCTATGAGCATAACTGTTATCAGTTGCAATCTTTATCACAAAGTGACACCTAGCCAACAGAACGCCGTTTGAGGTATGCCGTGATAGTTTGGATCCTCCTATGAAAAGAGCAATGTGATGGTCATACTGCAGATAAGCACTTCCTGTGAAAAATTACGAACTAACAATGCACTACACTGCAGTAGAAAACTTAAAGGCCAGTGAATAAGAGGAAGAATCGTTTTGGCCCAGCACTGCGATCGACAGTAGATGGCGCACCGCTAGGTGGCGCGGACTGCCAGTTTGGCATGCACTCGCGTGGTCCACAAACTTTTGTGGTCGACTCTACATGCAGCAAAGGAGCACGGCAAGGAAATACCTAGGTATTACTTGTCATGGGAATGACATGGTCTTTCGGCACTGGCATGGAAAGATGCAAGAAAGGAATGCCACTTGTGGATGCTAGTCAAGGCAGAAGTGGCATTGTAACTAGACATCAGTTTCTTCAACGTGCACAAATAATCTACTGATTTAAAGAGTTCTTTTTGTGTACTGATACAACTGTGTGCAAAGATGGGACAACTAGATGAAGCACATAGGCACAGCGCTACATTTTTCTGCGTCATTCTGTTATCCCGTCCTTGCGCACTGTTTTCATCCATGTTCTTTCATAAGCCTTCCTAGACTGTACCTTGCTACTAACGATTCATCACGAAAATTTCAAGTGGGGTCTGCCAAAGTGCCCTTTAGCAGTCATGAGTGTAAATGTTCTGCCACGTCAGTGATGGGTTGTTGGTCTACATTATTGGCAAATCGCACTTGCCATGGAGCAGAAGGAGCTTGATGCAGGTTACTTGATGCAGCGTACCGAATGAAAGAACGCTATGCAAAACATGCGCAGAATCTAAGAAAATACGTACAACAGATGAGTGCAAACTATGACCCGCATGAGTACTTTTGTTTCTTCGAATAAACTCAGTTGATAGTTTGCACTTGTCAGTTGCGAATGTTTTCACACATTCCTCCTGTTTTTTGTGCAGCATTTTTTCATTCAGTCTGCCATGGAGCATCCGGAGTCCAGCATGACAAATATAAAACAGGGCTGTGCTTTGTGGATAGAGCAGGTGACAAATAAACGATCAAGGCGCTGTGACCTTTTATGTACATGCACCGTATGTGCTTGACCAGGGCATATACATCCCCCACTAGGTGCGGCCCATTCCCGATTGACCTGACTGCAGGCGGCACTGGTGGTGCCAGCGGAGAGGACAACGAAGGGTGGGCTGGCGAAGGACAGCGCGAATACCAGGAGCGCATGTCCCGCGCCCGTGACCTTTCGGAGGCGCTGTGCTCTGTGGCAGCGCACAGTGCTGCCGACGGCTGGGATCACATGCAGGCAGTACTCATGCAACTATACCGCACATGGGCTCGGAACCCGGCAGCACGCATCACGCTCGCACTTGAGGATGGCACACCGCTGCCCATCAGCCCAACACCACCACCTCCTGAAAGCACTGCCACAACACAACACACAGGTAAAAAGCAGCACTCGCATGGTTTAGAGGGACAGTTCTGTTGATCATTTCATAATATGAAACGTTCACTGCAAGTGTAAAAAATAGAATATTAGCATAACGTTGCCAGTTCTACCAATGGTCAGTTGCATACTATAAGCAGACTTCACTGTGCATGTGCGCTTGGAGAAAAGCGTTGCATATTGGTAGCAACAATTCTAGCATTGTGAATTCATTTAGCGCATATTTTGTGCGAGAAAACTGAAGCCGCTAATGTAGCTTTAGGAAGAACCTGAAAAGTTTTTATTAAAAGCAAGTATATTGAAGCCTTCTAATAGGTGCCTGTTGGGAATGCGGCATAACGATGCACTAAACTGTAGTACACAATAACAGGAGTGGAACAGCTGTTCCATTTGCACCATTGTGTGCCAAACATGTTTACTTGCCTCGTCCTGCGTAGAACAAACCCTGTTGTGCCAAACTCGTTAATTTGTACCATACTGCACTGCAGCACCCTATTTAGCTGTGAGGTGTGACAGCCATCAAGGGTCTATTCACACCGCTATCTGCACAGCTTCACTGCACGTGGCGGGACACCAGCCGCACGCAAGCGAAAGAGCATCGCTGACGCACTCTTTCGCTTTCTGCACACGTGCAGCAGGTGTCTTTGGACGTGCAGTTCGAGGGAGTGGATAGGCCCTAGCCATGCCCAAGAACATGAATGAAACATTGCCTTTTTGGTTTGATTAAGACGGTTACAGATTTGGTGTCATCAAGGCTAGGATAGCTCAAGCTGCAGCTGTGATTCAATTTCAAAGGCAAGGCCACGATTGCTAGCATGCGTGCCCATTTCAGTAGGCATCAGCGCGAATGTCTCGTAAACACTTCTACGGGCTGCACTCTCAGCACGACAAACACTGTGCATAAAGATCATCTTTCCATGGTGCAGCCATATTCTCTTGCACCAGCGATTTGTAGAGTTATGCGAAATCGGATAAAAAAGAGTTAGCTGCCAGCCTGACTTGGAATATCGAACCCCTTTATACGAGGCACTGATGTGAGAGACAATTGTGTATAAGAGACAACAGTGGGCCTAAAGAAAAATACGGGTTAATAAGAAAGTACAGTCGCCGACCGTTTATTCGGACGCCGAAAATTCGGACATGCCCGTTTATTCAGACATCTTCATGGCACCGCCACTCTCCCCATTGATCCTAATGTAAGCTCACGACCTGAAATTCGGATGCCCCACTGTGCGCCATTCGGTCATTCGGACTCCATTTGACTGACCGGATGCGTCGAAGTACGCCATTACACGCTGACAGCGACGTTAACAATACGTTTGCTAGGTTGCTAGCACTGATATGCTGCACTAGCTATGAATGGATGTCGGGCCTGTGTCAAAATGCACACAGAAATCGCCATTGCCGATCTCGAAGGCTATGTGTGGCGACGCTTTTTATTTAAAAAAAAATAAGTTGCCAGTCAGGGCGGCCAAGCCAAGCCACCTACAGAGTCTGTTCGCAGTGGCATTTGCCAGCAGTGTCAGTCAGCTGATTCTGCGGCTAGGCCTGGTTCGTCTTGTTCTCTGTGTTCTCGCTCTCTTGCGTGTTCCGTGGCGTGCTGCAATGGCTACGACGCCACCCGTTGCTGCGCCGTCTGGAGTGAAGAAACGCGGCCAACGTGGGAGCTACAAGACGCTCAGGATGACGAAGAAAGCGGAGATGATTCGCCAGGTAGAGTTCGGCTGACCTCAGTCTGAAGTGGCTTGAGAATTTTCTATTTCCAAGCAAACCGTCTCGGAAGCGTGCGTGTGTGCAGGCATGACAGTTTTTTCGGGCGATAGGGCCTATAAAAGTGCCTTTTTTTTCGAGTGGATCCGTTTTTTCAGACTCCCGATTATTCGGACTTTTTGGCGGTTCCTGTCGAGTCCAAATAAACGGTCGGTGACTGTACAGTCGAACCTCGATATATCGAACGGCACGGCGATCGCGAAATAGTTCGATATATCCAGAATTCGATATAAAAAAATCACGAAAAAAATGCAGTCAACAGCTTGCTGAAAACAACCAACGAACCGTTCAAGCGTGGTGCAGTAAATACTCACTTGAAGATTCAAACATAGTATTTATTGTGTTGGTTTAAAATATTGAAAAAGAGTAGCCTGCTTTTTGTTGGCCATGGCGTGTTTGACGACTGCGTCCTCAATATAGTCCAGGCGATCATAAGTGATGGGCCGGTGCCTTCAATCGCACCACAGTGGCGGCGCGCAAGGGCCAAGGCAGCTACGACCTCAGCTGATGTTGGGAGCGTGGCTCCATCAGCGCTTGCGGGATCCACTTCGGCAGAGTCTTCATTTGGCTGCTCAGCAGTAGCTTCGACAACAATCTCCACATCCGTGAGCTCCGCCGTTCTGAGTTAGGCCTGTCGCGCACCACAGCGCGTGACAGGCCTAACTCCGAACGCAGGAACACTACGAGCACAACGACCGATGCCTGCCGATGTTACGGGAGAGGAGCTTGCAACAAGTGCGCAGTGTGCCGTTGACATCATAGAGACTGCAACGACTGCAAGCTGCAAGACTGCGGCGTGAGTCCGAGTGAAAAGTGCGCACATGGCGCGCTCATGCCGGCTCGCCTGACTGCTTTTCCTTTCCCGGCGGCAGCGCTGGCCGCGTCCGAGACAGTCGTCTGCGTCCTTTCTCTCCTATACTTTTCTCCTCAATCTTTACCTCCCGCTCCCACTTCCCCCGCGCAAAGCCGTGTCGGTGCCTTCGTATTGAACGACAATAACAGCTCCGCGCTTTTCTCCACTTTCCTCATTCAAAAACCTCTACCGCAAGGCTGCGGCGCGTGTACGCCGCTACGTTAAAGTGGCGCTCTCGGCGCCATTGATGTGTGCAGCATTCGTAAACGCCCGCCGCTCTACCGCTACTTTCAAGAGTTGCTGGAAAGCTCGCCACCAGTCAATGGAGCGCAGGCGGTTTGGGTTGGCTGAGTTCGATATAACCATTATATGTCAAACTTTGTTCGAAATAAAAAATCAATAATGCGTGCGATTTCCCACGTGATATAGGAACCGTTTGATATAGGCAATAATTCGATATACCGTAATTACTCGATTCTACCGCGCCCTCAATTGTAACGCGCACCCGATTTCCACCATGAAAAAAAAAAAAACATAAGACATTCGATTGCAACGCGCACCCATTTTTCTCGCTGGCCCGCACGATCACACCACTCGAAAAAACGACTCCTTTCGGGAGCATCTTCCATTAAATATGAGGTACTGGGCGAAGCTTGTGCCCATCTGACGTGTAAAAGAGCGTTGCCGTCACTGTAGTTTTACCGTGGACCGATGTCAGCACGCGAACTTGCTTCGCCCCCTTCTTCTTGACGGTTGTGGTGCCAGACATGTCGAAGTAAAGAGGCGTCTGATCGGCATTCCTGATTTGCCCAAGCAGGTAGCTGTTGTTGCGCCGCAAGTTTAGGACGAACCTTTGAAAACTGTGAAGCTTTTCATCGTACTCCACCGCAAAACTTTTCGCATATGCATGTTCCCCTTCGGAGGGAAACGCCTTTCCTCTTCATAAAGTTAAGTTAGCCAGCACCTGCTCGCTTTAAACTGGCTCCGCATTAGACCTTTTTCTAAGACTAATTGCATAGCTCGCACTTGGAGCAGTTCTGTCGTCACGGGCCGCTGTGCCGCTCGCTGCTTAAGCACATACTCGCCGAGCAGCTCTTTATTTGTGGAAACCGACCCTGCTGTGGTCCACTGAAGCCTTTGCGTGAAGCTTTGCTGTCGACAATCTTCTGCTTTTGTTTCCGCTGGTCCCGCAGGCACGTTTCGGGAACTCCGAACGACCGTGATGCGGCCCGATTTCCGTCCGTTTCTGCACATGTGATGACTTTTCTTTTAAAACCGGCATCGTGGTGCACTCGAGTTTTTGGAGTTGGCCCTTCCACGCTGTCGATGCTAATGCACTACTAGATGACGAACTCCTCAGCACACGTATGAAGTGCCGCACATGGGAAACACATAGGCAGAAATGGCCGACGGGCCATGCCGACGCACGTAGGGGGCGGCCATTTCGGATTTCCGATGGTAATAGATTGACCGTAATTTTTTTGTTCGTACTCGATTCTAACGCGCATGCGACTTATGAACTCGCTTATCCGGAAAAAAGGTGCGCGTTAGATTCGAGTAATTACGGTATCCGTGTTCGATATATTGAGGTTTGACTGTATATACAAGGTACCCTGCTTATAAGAGCCATCTCATATAGAGTAAAAGCTCGTTAATTTGAACTGCAAGGGGAAGCCGCCTCAGTTAGAATTAACGAAAGTTTGAACTAACAAAAGTGAAGAACAACAATGGTACACTACGAGTAGGGCTTAACAATTAATTTTTTGGAAAAAATCTGATCGCGGTCTGCCTTCTTTTCTTGAAGGCGACAGCCAGCACTTTTTGCTTTAACCAGCGAGTTTGGCGAAAGGCCTCTTCTCCACCTTCTTCAAAACTTAAGAAAAGACGGGCGGCTTTCAATCTGGCCATGATTTCCGCAGCAGAGGGCCGCACTGGTGCTTCGTCCTCCTCCTCATCATCGTCACTGGCAGCGACAAGTTTTGCACTTCTCACCTAACAAGTTGTCACCATTCGTGAGTGCACCACACACCACTGTACTTGAGTCCACATCGACATAGTCTGCAACGCAGACGTCTTCCAAAACGTCCAGTGCTCGAGCACTGGTGGCTCGACAGCTTAGCAAAGCTTCGGTGCTGAAGCCACAGTGGCGAAAGCAATTTGCTATCGTAAGCGCTGTCACTTGCTCCCAAGCACGCACAAGCTTTTGTAGATCACTTAGGAGCGTCACTTGGTAGTTATTGCACAAAATAATTTGTTCCAACATATGACGCCAATAAAATGATTTTAAATTTCTAATTATACCCTGGTCCATAGGCTGCAGTACCGCTGTCGTGTTTGCTAGAAGGAAGGCCAGCTCAATGGCCTTCGTCTCAACGTTGACTTTATGAGCCGAACAGTTGTCCACAAGAAGCAGCACTTTGCGGCCACAGCGTTCGAACTTCTTGTCAAGCTTCCCCAGCCACTACCCGAAGGATTCCCCCGTCATCCAGGCCTTTTTTGTTGGCTGCATAGTCTGATGGGAGGGACCGGTAGTTCTTGAAGCAATGAGGACTTCTTGATTTGCCTATCACAAACAGAGGTAACTTCTCGGTCTCGGTCATGTTCGCAGCATCCATCACAGTTATCCCTTCTTTACTTTTCTTCCCTCCCGTGCACTTGTCGCCTTTATACGTGATAGTTTTGGCGGGCAGCAATTTGAAAAATATGGCAGTTTCATCCGCATTAAATATGTCCTGCGGAGAATACTTCTTCATGTAGCCTTGAAGCACTTCGCAGCGCCAACCTTCACACGTTTCCATGTTGACGGCGTTCATTTCACCCGACACAGCATGAAAAACGAGGTCGCAGCGCTCGCGAAAATGATGCAGCCACCCATCTGAAGCAGTGAAGTCATCGTAGTCTAGCTGCAGGGCGAAGTCCGCTGCCTTTGCCAGTATGACTGGGCCACTCTGGTATGTCCTGCGAACGCATTTTTTTTATCCAAATGAGAAGTGCTTTCTAGAGGTCAGGATACTTTGCGGGCCGCAAGCTCCTTTTTGCACGCAACTTCTGCCTCTAAGTCGTCTTCAATAGTCCTCCTATTTTTTATATAAGTAGGTAGCGCCGTTTTTTTTTATTCCATGCTTTTTCGCAACATCTTGCTTTGGCAAGAGTCCGGCGTCCACTTCTCGCAGGATATCAGCTTTCTCCAGAAGTGTTTTGGTACGGTATTTGCCGCGGGCACAAGCCATCAAGTCGGAGCAGCAGAAAACGCGACAGACGGGAAGTTACTACCGGCGCTACCGCAACAAACATTGGTCGAGGCCTAACACCAACATAAAGAATCGCGACAGTCGGAAGCTACTCCCAGCACCAACAACCGAGGTACGACGCACGCCTGAGGCAGCGACTGCAGAAAATGCTGGGCAAAGTGACGATGCACCCGTGTACTGGTCATGTCATCTGTCGTCTAACAGCGACAGCTACGCGGGATTTGCAAAGGCTCCGAAAAAATCTTGGAGGTTACATAGAACGGAGAGCAGGCAGTCGCCGAGAGAGAGAGATTGTGGGGGGAGGGGGTGAAGAGTAAGTGGCGCTATTTTCTGCACTCTGGCCTTCGTGCCAGTTTCTCCGTTTTTCTCTCCGCTCCCTGTCAACGCCGCCTCGTAACTCAGCAGCCGCCCTATCGAGTGAGTAGCCAAGCCGCTGGCGCGTAGTTTGCCGCTAGCGCGTAGTTTGCCGCTGGCGCGTAGCCAAGCCGCTGGCGCGTAGTTTGAAATATCCGCGGCGGAACCTACTCGCATTTGAATTAACGGGCTTTTTTTATTTATAGGCTTGTATGGAGCTTGGACGGACCATAAATTACCCTTCGAATTATCTATAAATTCGAATTATTGAAGTTCGAATTAACAAGCTTTCACTGTAAAAGACAACAATTGCTGCCCGGAGCATGCCTCTTATAAAGGGGTTTAACTAACAATACAATTCGTTGCTGTTGCATGGATTGCTTAGCCATTGCAGTAATATGATATTTCTTGCTGTTTATAGCTAAGCAAGTTTCTGTGTAAAGCCGAAGCTATGAGTGCAATAGCAACAAATTGCAATGTTATCATAGTCAGGCTGTGAGCTAAATCTTTGGGATGGAATCTTGCGTAATTCTAAAAGAAGGTAGTGTAAAAAAATAAGGCCCTTTCAGGGAAAGCAAGCAGCTCTTTTGGCTTGATCTCCTTGCGATGAGAAGCTCGGTCTCTACGCAGCTCGTAAAACCGTGTACGAGCCACTTGCTGATGGCTGCTGAGTGAGTCCACGCCAGCGATGGTGACCACGCCTTTACAAGCGAAGTGAAAAGTTAGTGCTCCGGTGACACCTCGAGCACCAATTACGCGTCGAGAGGTGCTCATATAATATACTTCTACCAGGGTACATCATTGGCGCACGTGCAAAGCAGTGCTTGGCAAAACATTCGCGCTGGTGCCGCACCTAGGTACAGTTGCAGTGTGCTTTGGACTAGTGTATTTTTTGAAGGCTTAAACTTCAGCATACTTTGGTAGGTGTTAGAGAACATTTAGGTGCTTGGTAAACTGTGTGGTGATTTACTTTCCATACCGGCTGTCTGTTTATCTTAAAGAAGTAAACACACGTGGCGGCCTGTGCGAGAAACACTGGCATCGCCTTTGAATATGTGCAGTGTTTATTGTGACGTGAAGTATGCATTGAAAGGCATTAACAAGATTGGTTCACCTTTACGTGTGGTGCGTGATCAACGATGCGTCTTGTTTGCTAAAACATTGGCACCCGTTGCGGGTCAGTGGCAGTAACTGGTTGTCGACGGAACTTCGCAATTGGACATTTTATTCAAGACAAAAAATGCATTTGATGCGATCACCTGCGGAGAGGTACATAGAGTTACCGCTGCTTGCGGAAAAAAAGAGTGCATGATCTCCGGGCTGAAAAATACGTCTATGCATGAGCTATTAGCATGCTTTAGCATTGCCGAAGCTGCATATATGCTGTGCCACAGCGAGTAAGCAAACCAAATAAATGTACAGCTTGTATTATCGGAGACCTTATACGGTGTAATGGAAACCCGATAAATATATAGCTTGTATTTCGGAGACCTTATACAGTGTAACAAAAACAGAGGAGATTCTTTTTTCTCGGATGCTTGGTACCTTTACGGCTCGGTCTTTATGAAGTGACAATGAACATTACAAGTTGTCATCAGGTTTAAAAGAGCAGTGTAAGTATGCAAACACGTAGGCATAAGATGCAGTGTGGTAACTGTGCAAGAGAACACCTATATAAATAAGTTGAAGGCTTTAAAACTATGCAGTCTTTCAGTTGGTTAGGAGAAATGTGGTAGGGGAGAACTTTGCTATAATTTTCTTGGGGACTTGTTAACCTCAGCCTCACGAACCTCAAGATATGTTTTTTTTTCCCCTTTTTTCTACTCATCTCCAATCAGAATTTTTTGCACTGATTGAGAATATCATCCGTGACCTCACATGCAGCAGCTCAGAACAATACTGCCACCAATCATGTCCATCATTTAAACTGATTCAGTTGGTAAAACTAGATAGAGAAACCACCTATAATAAGTTGAAGCTTAAACTATGCAGCTTGCCGTTGGTAGGAGAAATGTGGTAGGGGAGAACTTTGCTATAATTTTCTTGGGGACTTGTTAACCTCAGCCTCACGACCTCAAGATATGTTTTTTTTTCCCCTTTTTTCTACTCATCTCCAAATCAGACATTTTTTGCACTGATTGAGAATATCATCCGTGACCTCACATGCAGCAGCTCAGAACAATACTGCCACCAATCATGTCCATCATTTAAAACTGCAGTGCAGAAGTCATGACCAAAATTGAGTACGTTCATATCCATCCCATGAAAATACTTCTCAAAGTGCCAGTCACCACTAACATGCAGAACCTTGTTTTCAAAGAGGAAAAAAAAAATTTTATGGCTGCCGTCATTGACGAGCAAATCACCACATGTTAACCTTAACAAAATCATACATTATAGGCAGTGACCCTTTCCTTTGAAAGCTGCAACTTTTGAAAATAGCAATTAGCAGATATTTCTATCTTAGGAATGTCCAAGCATTAAGAAGCTGCATACTTTCATTTTGAATAACGTGGCAACAAGCTGAAACCTCATGTGCCAAATGCACAAGCATGGCAAAACTGTGGTCCTGTCTGTGTGCCACTGGTACAGCCATGCCCTGCGGTGGTGTTGGTGCCAAGGGCCAGCCAATAGTTCCAAAGGACGAGCTGCTCGATGCCATGGACGACTACGAGTTGGCTCAGAAGGACACCAGCAACATGGCCTCCGGTGAGGCAATACCCTCCTCCCTCTGTCGAACAGTGGAGCCTCCGAGCTCAACCTCTTAGTTGGCCTAAAGCTTTTCTTTATCTAAATTTATTTTAACAAAACAATACAGTAACGTCACAGTATTAAAAAAAATATTAACTTTATAATCCTTACACTAAAGGTCAGTTAGTTTTTATGCTGTGACGCTTTCATTCATTCTCCCCTACTTTTTCACCAATCCTCCATCTGGCATTTACGCATCTTTGCACCGAAATGTTCACGTGGCCCTTGCTGTAGACGATTTTCCGCTGCGGCGCACGGGCGCTACCATGTTTGATTACATGACTGATCCGGCCTTCTTCCAGCCAGTTGCCCCAGCCAACGCATTGGGCCACGAAGCGGCCGTAGTCGTAAGTGCCAGTAGCAGGGGTTAGAAGTCCACATGGCAGCACTCATGTAGACGCAACCACCCACTTTGATCCGAACTTGCACTTGCTATTCACCCACTGTCTTCACAGCAATAAATAAACACCGAAATCAGCTATTGCTTCAAGTCATCTTGTAGCGAGAGAGGAAGATGGGACGGCGGCCAACGTGGTCGTGTCGTTCTCTCGCCACTTTATTCCACGCCTGAAGCGGAGCCGCGTGGCTTTCCACGTCCGACACACCGAGTGCCTAGCTTGTTCTAATCCTCGCACCGCTCGAGCTAGCATCAGCTGCACGAGAGGCGCGGCGCGGTGATCAAGAAATGATGATGGTGATGATGGCACCACAATCTCATGCTGGGGCCACACCATCAGGTATGGTCTGCCTTTATTGCTGAAATTAGTGGTGTTTATTTAGCCATGCCTGCTAAGCATTATCTGCGACAATTTGAGAATGAATCTTGGCAAAATACCTATGAATATATTGCTGTAAAACCTTAAGGACATAAATAGAAAGCAAATAAATGCATTGGTTGCGAAATTACGGGCCGCACAGCACAGAACGATGATGTGGTAAGTTTGAGGCGGAAGAAAACTGCATCTACAGGTGCTGCCATGCTGACTTTTTTGACAATGCCGTCTGCTCACTTTTACTCTCGTGTGCGGATGACGTGGTAGAGAGACCCCCACGGTGCGATGGTGCCGTCTAGTTTGGACTAACAAAACGGCCGCAGAAAATCGTCTATTCCTAAAACCGAGGTTTTTATGGCAACTGGTGCACTTCCTGCATCGTGTAAAACATTCTTCACGTAAGATATTTCACCAGGGCCATATGCAGCGGTCAGGTCTATAGTACAGTACAGTGCCACGCTTGAGTGCTCTGCAGGGGTTGTTCATAAAGTTACCATATCCCACTTGGTATGTTCAGTCTGCTCTGCTTTGCTTTGTAGGGACGGGATATAGTAGAACCTCATTGAAACATTCCCATTTTAAGATTTTATTTTTCTCTTTCTCTGCCTTTTGTATGTGTTTTTCATGCCTGTTGCTTTCTCTCTCTATTTCTTGCTCTTCCAGTCTGTTCCCTCCCTTTCCCTCTTTTCCTTGGTTCCCCCTTGCTCTATTATTCATGGCTGCTTCTGTCTGCTTCCTTACCTGTCTTTCTACCTTCCTCTCATTCCGTCTTTTCTTTTCTGGTCTTGCTCCTTGTTTTTTTTTATTTATTTTCGTGTCTATTTTTTCTTTGTATCTTTTTTGTGTCATTTATTTATCTTTCTTTTTGTGGCTTTCTTTCTCACCCTGTCTTTCTATCACTTTTTTTTTCTCTTTATGTGCTCCTTTTCGCCCAGTGCAGTCTATGTTAAATGCGTGAACATGCTATTCTCGGTACTAGGGCTTCCCAAGTCATGTGGTTTTTTTTGGATCTTTGGACAGCAGAGTTTTTACGGCTGACCTAAGCTACGGTGTAAAAACACATGTGATTTGGGCACATGAGCAAAAGGGGCTGTAAAGATCTGCGTGCAGCTATAAATTTTCGGGGTTACCTTTTATCTGTTAAGCCCATCTTCTTCGTTGTGTAATATTTAGTTAGAAGACAGAGGGTAGCTGTCTATGCAAATAGACTGTGCTGATGTTTCCGCTTAGATTTCTTTTGTCCAGTACGCCGACTTGGTGCAGTTCTGCACTCTGTCATGCTTACCCAACATTTAGTGCATTCTATTTTCATCTGCCCCTCATGGTACTCCTGTCACACCTTTTTCTTTGTCGTTTGACTTTCCTTCTTACTAATCGCGGCATTTCTCGTCATGTGATGAGAAACGCTCATGCCACTCAATTCTGCACCCCTTCATTTACAAATCATGCTTAATGTTAATATAACTGTGCCTTGATTCAGCTTGAAAAGCAATACGATTCCCATCAATAGAAATCGTAACCACTTTTCTTTCAAACCTTTTTCGTCCATACCGAGTTGTACATTGTTATCACATGAAAAGAATGGGGACTTGAAAACCATTTTTTGTGGTTCTCTAGCTCTGCGCTTTCGACTGTGCAAAAAAGGTGGTGTGCGCTGCTTGAGATATATGTGGCAGCACCTCATCTTGGGGGTGTGCGCTATGCTTTTACCAATTAGCCCCCTGCCCATACTTGTTTTTCCTCACTTTCACTTCAGGCCTGGAGGACAACCACCATGCTGCAATGCTTTCGGACGATGACGCAGACATGCCACGTGACAGTGTCAAGAGCAACGTGTTTGCCGGTATGCCCACCAAAGCTCATAAATTGCACAGACAGTCATCAGAAGCGGGGGTTCACATGTTTCTGCAAAGCGAGCCATTTTTACTGTTTTTTGGAGGATTTTTTGTTTATGCTGCACAAGAAATAATCGCAGCAAATATTCAGCTGCTGAGTTTTTGAAGACGTACTGTAAGGGAAAACTATCAATCCATGAAGAAACCAGACCAACAGCTGTTCATTGTTTCAACTTCTTTTATTGCAGTGCTCACTTGCACTCGTTTATTGCTTCATTATTTTTCACACATACAGTGGAAACATGTGGCAGCTTGTAATAACAAACAAACAACCCCATTCGTGCTTCTTGCTAATTGGCCCCTTGTGAGCTGTGGGGCAGGCTCAAACAGAGCTGACAGCACTTGCAGTTCTGCGTGAAATAGTGATTAGACTTGACGGTTTCAAGAAACTGGTAATCTAATTCATAAGTGGCTGTCACCAGTTTCTTTTGTACTGAAAATTGGAATTGTTCAGACATGGCCTATAGCATTTGGTGACAAAATGGCATCAGTTTTACATTATTTTCTTTGTGGCCGTCATCAGCGTTGAGCGAGAAGTATGATTGATTGATATGTGGGGTTTAACGTCCCAAAACCACCATATGATTATGAGAGACGCCGTAGTGGAGGGCTCCGGAAATTTCTACCACCTGGGTACCTTTAACGGGCACCCAATTTGAGCACACAGGCCTACAACATTTCTGCCTCCATTGGAAATGCAGCCGCTGCAGCCGGGATTTGAACCCGCGACCTGCGGGTCAGCAGCAGAGTACCTTAGCCACTAGACCACCGCGGTGTGGCGACCGAAGAGCATATCTGTGAAACTACCTACATTGAGCAAGAAAGTGGTATCTTGTGCATTAGTACAATTGTATTCTAAATAGTTAAGGAACAAGTGATGACCATTACTCATCGTGAACCAAAGAATGACTACCTACCCTATTAGTAGTGATTGTCATATGTTTGAAGCAGTGAAAAAGAGTGGTTGTAAAAAACAAATCGACCTTCGTACGCTTTACTGCAAGTTCTCTGTATTAAGACATGGCTACCCAGTTCTTCATTTGCTGCACGGAAAAATCCAGCTGATTCGGACGCCCAGAGAGCGAAGCCCAGTCTCGTATGCTTAAGTTATCGTATGCCATCAAGTAGAACATTGGTTGTAACTTTTTACTGATATCGTTATCACTGACTTTATGTTTTTTTTTTTACTTATTGGGTGTTTACGGGAAAAGGCTGCTGAAAGTAAATTGCACGGCTAATATAGCCTGCAGGATCGATTTCTTGGAATGTGCATATGTCATGTACCAAATCTGAACTGCAAATATAGCTTAGAAGCTAATTTAAATTTATGTATGATTGAGTACTGTGCACCACTCCTTTTGCCATCGAATCGCCTAAGGTCATCCGAAAGGGACACCTAGTTCCGTGGTTACAGGCATTTGAAAGGTTCCCCTTTGGGGCGGCAGTAGTTCATTGTAGTGCATCCCCCTCCCATTTGAGTCAACGTATAAGGAAGACTTTGCACCCCCCTGCCTTCCTCCTCCCCATGTGCGCCCATGTCTGGCATCACCACTGCAGCTGAGCTCTGACCTGGTAACGATCACAGCATAGTACTTGCCACTGGCTTTCTTCCATGCTTGTGCCAGCAGACTCTAATTCCGCAGCTGCTCGTGAGTCCATGCTTGCGGTGAACATGTAGGAGGTATAACAGCCTCAAGAAAGTCATTGCAGTGATGATAAATGCAACAGTGATGATGGCATCACGAAACAGTACATGCAGTAGGTGAAAGAACTCGAGCAGACAAGTTGAGATATCCCCAATTGAAGAAAGCATCATGTAAGAATTTACTGCATATTTAAATTGACTGGTAGTGCAGTGAAAATTTGTTGTGTTAGCTGCAATTCATTAATGCTTAGCCAAAATTCTATTTCATTGTGCAGCTTCAAAAAATCTCTGGCACGTATAAATGATGTACAAAGTCGTATGGCTGCCAGAAAAAAATATACGCATATATATATAGTACGTTTATTTGTACTTGAATAGGGAGGTGTTGCTCCGGAGAAATGTGGAGCACCTGTGGTTTCTGTGTGGCCCTATCTCTGAATATTAAGAAATGCACACTTCAAAGAATCCTAATTTTTAAATTAATTATGCTATACATTCATATCATAATTACTACAATGCAGTTAAAATAGTACAATTAATGTCCCTATATCTTCCTTGGCTTCATTATCCGTTGATTTTTTTTAAGATTGTATCTGGCAAAAGCATGAGCCATTACGATCTCCTTATTTCGTTCACATGGAAAAAGTGGCACAGCCATTTGTACAAACTTGTTTGAAAAATCGAGATGTTCACTGGCCATAGTATCTCCCCTTTGATGGGGGACAGTAGTGGCATGCAGGAAGAAGTGTTCAAGAAAATTGTTTTGAGCTGTTGTCCCAGGACAGCGCAAGACATAATAGGGTTAGATTACCTTAAAGCTAAACTTGATTGACAGAATACTGTGTGGCTCGGTAAAATTATATGAATAAGTAGACTCTTCATTCATGTTTAGTTTTTATTTTTATGTTTTGTTTAAATTAAAAAAACTGGACACTAAATGCTGTGTTTGGCTTTTCGGGTGTCAGTTTTAATATTAAGAAATAAAGGCTAAACATGGCTGGAGAATCTGTTTATTCGTGTTAAGCAAATTCTACAGCACAATTGGAAAGCCCTCGTGTTTGATTAGTGGTGCGCAGTGTGCTGTCATCCTTTATTGGCTGACAAGAGCGATAGCCCCCGTAGCACTGCATGGAATTAGTGAGGCACGACAGTTCATATTCCCGGGAGTTTCCCTCTCGGGCCACGTGTGATGCAGTGCCGCACTTTGTGACCAGGCACGACCCAGTTGGAGAAGACCGAGCCCCCCTGCTCCCCCGGCGGGCTTCTCAATGTGTCCAGTGCACACCACCACCATCACCACCACCACCATCATCATCATCAGGGGGGTGGAGAGGGTGGCGACGGCGTCACGTCGTCCGGCCTGGGCAACATCAAGATGCCCGACGACGCTGTGTTCGGTTTTTCGGGGGGCATCTTCAAGGACGGGGCAGCCGAGGCGGCCGGCAATGGCACCGAGCGCCACCACCAGCACTGTGTCGTCTCCACGGTGGCAGGAACGACCACGTCTACAACCAGTGCACCCGGTCAGTGTAGATGGCTTGCATCGGTGGTTTTGTGAACATAACAATAGCCCAAAGCGCCTCAGAAAAATTTCAGTCACATGTCTCATTGACCATGTCAGAAAAAAAAAAGCTTCTTCAGTTTTGGTGTGCAGGAAGTCTTTTTGCTGGATTTTCCAAGTCGAAAAAAAGTACATCATGTGCCACTTGTTAGGCTTGCAATTTTTCTTTTACCTTATCGCAAAGTTAACTTGTTTAACTCAGATCTGCACTGAAAAAACAATTTTGAAAGCGTGTCTGCTTGCGTCTATTCTAATGTGTTCCTGCTGTTCACCATGAACAGTTTTGAAATAAAAAATATTACAAAGATATGAACCCTTTAGATGTACATCATCCACATAGAGTCAAGATTAGAAGTAGTAGTCTGTGTACCGTCTTTGCTGTGCCAGTAAGCAGCAAATGTTTTGCAAAAGCTCAATGTACATCTGGGATGTTATTCTCCGTCAATCATTTAAAAGATTACGTGTAACTTGGCATGTCCTAGTGCCCTGTTTCTTTTAATTATTATTATTATGAAAAGGCTTCCCCGTTGTCAGCTGCAGTGCAGGCTTGAGAATAGTAGCTCTCCTAAATATCTCTAAATTGTGCAATGCACAACAAGGGTTCAAAAAGCGTTTCATAATGCCAGTCACAAGTGTTATGCAGTCACAACTGCCTAACGCTGCCATTTTAAAACATGTGGCTTTATTATGGTAGTCACAAGAGATCTGGCCAAGAAACAACCAGATAGTGTGTCCTACTTTATTGGGCCGTATCTACTGGTTCGAGCTCATGAAACAAAACGATAGCCTGTTTAGAAAGAGTGGTGCATCCGAGACTGATGTTGATCTAGTCTCCAGTTTCGCTGATGTTTGCTTGTATATACGTGCGTTTTGTAGTGTAAAATCACCTACGTTTATTAATAGCGTGCACAACAGTTTTTTCTGGCACCGGTCAGTGCTTGGTAACGAATCTCTTGTGTTTTGACCAGTATGTGAGGAGGCCAAGCTGTCGGCCGAAGAAGAGGTGTACCGGCTGCACTCCGGGGACCTGTCGTGCTTCACTGCCAGCATTGGTGGGGGCAACGAGGGAGCACCAGCCACCGGGGAGCAGCTGGGAGACCTGTTTGGTTACGGCTCCGACTTCGCTAAGGGCCTTCAGGCCGAAGGTCGGGACAGCCCTGTGTTGCTCAGCATCAAGGATGATGAGCTCAGTGAGGGTGAGCACACCTTATGAGCCCTCTTTTGTCTGCCAGCAACAGTTCTTAAAAGATTGTCGATGTAGAAACATGAAGTCAAGGTAAAGAGCAAAGTACAGGGTAGACCACTTATAGTGCAGAACCAGTTACAATGCGGTCTTTTTTGACTTCCTTTCACCCTTCGATAGAACCCCATGTATACGTATACTGCTTATTGTGCAGTCCCCCAGGATGAGAGACCGGTTATAATGCGATTGCCGAAAGATCTTTGTGACAATTGCAGTAGCAAGTGCGCCGCAGGGGAGCGAGCAATAAGGTCGTTACGGAGAAAGAGGGAACGTGGAGTGAGCGAAGGGTGGAGAGCAAAAAAAAAAAGAGCGCAGCACACTGCGCTCGCCCGAATAAGCCTTTGCACCAGAGCGTTGCTAGCATTGCTCCGGTCGCACGCAGCTTGACATGGCATGTGCGATCCCGTTTTTATCAACTGCGCTTAACAGTTTCCTGTCGAGAAAAACACCGTCGTTATCGGGCTTGCTACAGATATCGTATTTGCTACCTCAACTATAAACTTAAAACCTTTTACAGCTTTAGCATGCGAGCCTTTGCTGCCAGTGCGTTGTTACATAAGCTTGGCAGGTTTTCATCGTTGTTGATTTCCCGGCTTCGAATGCGAACTTCGTATCAGGCACACTGTTCATGGTTCAGTGCTTAAGTGCGGTCTTTTCCAAGCCGGATCTTCGTGTCTAAGACAAACTTCCTGCGACAACATACCGAACAGCAGGTTAGGCCTAATCAGTGTTGGTCGCGTTTCGTTAGTAGTCGCGTGCAGTCTTAAGTTGTGGTTTGCTACGTATTCAATGAAACTCTCTGCGGTGGCCGTACTTTTTACGGAAAGGGACATATTGTTAATGGAAACAAGGGTGGCATGTGTACAGGAAACCAGTGCTGGAGTTTCCACGACTACTCTGGTGTTGAGAGCGCGCACTTTTCCGCTGCTTCCGCAGGTGAGAGTGGCGGCTGGTAGAGGCGGTGTGTGCGTGCATCGCCCTAACAAAACCAAAGGGCACTGGCGGTACTGCTGCGTATTCAAGTGTAACAATATATAAATAGAAGGGGGATGTATAATGTAAAGGGAGGGCGTGGCTAAGGTACTCGGCTGCTGACCCGCAGGTCGCGGGTTCGGATCCCGGCTGCGGCGGCTGCATTTTCCGATGGAGGCGGAAATGTTGTAGGCCTGTGTACTCAGATTTGGGTGCACGTTAAAAAACCCCAGGTGGTCGAAATTTCCCGAGCCCTACACTACGGTGTCTCTCATAATCATATGGTGGTTTTGGGACGTTAAACCCCAATTATCAATCAGTAAAGGGAGGACAAAGAAAGAGGAGGCGGCAGTTGCATCCAAGCGAAAAAACGAGGAAAATTCTGCTCTCGCTCTCCTGTCTAGTGCTGTCGGGCTCGTTTCTAAACCGAATGGCACATGTCTGCTACCGTATTTACTCGCGTAATCCTCACACTCGCATAATTCTCGCACCCCCCACATCACCCAAGAAAAATACGATTTTTTTTTCCTCGAGTAATTATCGCATCCCCTAAAAACTGCAGCAATAGTATCGTCTGCTCCTTCCAGCCACTGATAATGATAATAGGTGGCTGTTCCCTTTGAATCGGGTGAGTTCCCTTTGAAACGGGCCACTGTATGGATGGATGGATATGGCTGTACCCTTTAGATCGGGCGGTGGCTAGTGCAACCAAGCCATAATACTTAATGAACCTAATGAACTGATAATGAACCTAATGAACTGATAATGATAGTGCGCGCCATCTGGTGCCATCTCTTAAGCATCAAGCGTACTGTTGCACGGAGATTCAATACAATCCAAGCCAAGCTGAAGTGGCCAGTGCGCGTTGTGGCGTGATTTGTATGTTGTGTCGGTAATCTTGGCATGTTATGGGGTGATACTGAAGCTACACGGCTGCTTCAAGTTGCAAGTAATAGATCATGCACTAAACAACAGCAACAGGCCCGCTGGTATGCCCTTCGGAGCCTACGAGTTTTGTGTTCGCTACTGGTGACGGCAGCTGAAAGCCACCAAGACCTTTGGGCCTGCCGTGTGCCTAAAACTGGGATTGATGGTAAACTTTATTTCTTCGGAAGGAAACTGCGGACGATTCTGTTAAATAGCCATCAGCCCAATACTGACATCCTACGCTTATCTTTTGAGGGCTTCTGTTGAGCGACGAACACTATCGCTACGCGCCGTAACGCCCACAAGCTTTGCGTATGGTATTCTAATTCTCGACTATTTGCTTCCACTTTTTGTGTCTCAAATAAATCTTGCCTTGTGTTGAACCTCCGCTTCTATTGTTGAGGTAAGTTCTAATTAGTACTTCTTAAAGCTTGCTTTAAGTTGCTGGTGTGAGCATCTCGATTTAGGGCTACTTCGTTTTCTTTCTCGCTCTCCTCGTTTACGTGGAAAGCTTTCCCCGCGTAATTCTTGCACCCCCCAACTTTGCGTCGGTTTTCCGGCAAAAATGTGCGAGGATTATGCAAGTAAATACGGTATATTTATTCGGTAGTGAAGACGGCCACCAGTGAATACCAGGGCCACAGGCTTCGTAACAGTCGAGTTTAAATGGCGTTTTGCCAGAAATAAAACGAGCGTATTAAGCAACATGCGGCATATGTAAACTTTCTTTTTTTCTGGCCTGCTGAGCGTTGAGTCGTGCACTTCAGGATTAACAAATTTTCCATTGCGTCCTTCCATCTAACCACCACCACCAAACTCAATGTGATGCCACCGCCTGAAGTAAATGATACGTTATGCAGGTAGTCTTTTTTTTTTTTTGTAAACAGTTGCGTGTAAAAGAAAGCTGCCTTGTCCACAAGACTTGTGCAGGGCCACGTTCACCTATGCCTCTAAACTGTTATAAAAGATACTCTCGCAATGAACACTCGATGTCGAGATGCCTCTGTTTAACTTAATTTGTGCATAAGTGCAAAATTTGGCTCTTGTTACGAACAAAGCGGCGGGCTACTCGAAGCTTAGCTTTCTGGAGTCAGCCGATGCAGTAAGCGTTTTTTTCACTGGCTGCTGTGGCTAAGTGACATCGGAATTCATGCCTTGCTAGCGAAATATCAAGTGTCTTCGATTTTTACTCAATGTTTAGTTCGCCTAACACACAGTTTCAGTTTTTCCGCTTGCCTGTGTCAGCCTAAAATGAAGCTGTCTGTTCAACATCGAAAATCGCTAAGCTTTCATGTGCCAAACAATATATAATTTGGGGTATGCTGTAGTGGGCGTATCAAGATTGTGGCCACTTGGGGTTCTCTAATGTGCACATATATATCTTTGTTCACGGGTGTTCTTCTTACTTTTTATATTTCACCCCTATCGAATTGCAGCCGCCGCAGTTGCTGATCTATCCCGCGCCCTCAAGAATAGCAGCGCGACACCATACGTGCTATATGCTGCCACAGTGGTTTGCTTGATCAACGTCTTCGTGCATACATACCGCAGACAGAGTGTACAATGCCAGAAAAAAAAAAAAAAATTGACGTAGCTACCGCTTACTCTGGTTTGTTTTTGTTGTTTGTTTTGTTGTACTGCAGATGTTGGCAGCGTGGTATTGTTGCATCACGGACTTTTCAATGGATGCATGTCAGCCAGCACTAGCATTAGCCGAAAACCCAGCACGCAACCAGCAAATGTGGACGAGGGAGCGGCCATCACCACACAGCACTGTCCCTTCGATACTATATGCATAGACGCAATCCACTTTGCAGGGCTTTTCTCTATTTTTAGTGCCTTTTATGTGAGAGTAGCTTTCAGACAAAGGTATTTTTCTAAACCACAGTGCAGTATTGTGGGCACAATGGCTTTTCGGGCTGTTTGTTCCAAAATGAAGCACGGCAGCTGTGCACGCGCGTGCTCTCAGAGTGGCCAGTCGTCTGGGCGCGAGCAGCTTAGTTGTGTCGCGACTCTCCGCCAGATGCCCTCTTTCGGCTTGCCATCTATCCAGCGCTGTTCGAACGTAGCGGTCGCATGGTGGTTCGAGATTCGATTGCAGCCTTCTCAAATTGAGTGCATGCCCGTGAAATCAAACAATTGGTGTCTTTCAGAGCGTGAAATTTCAGATGTGATTCGACATTCTGCTTAATGCGCGTCTGAGAAGCAGTTGTGGAATTTTCGCTTTAGTTCTTTTCTTGTTACCCCTCCCCCTCTTTTTCTTATTTTCGTTTCGATGGCAACACCTGTGTTCAGATGTTTAATTGTTTTTAAAATTCGGAAATTTAAAAGATTGTAAGCACCACGCATTGCATTTTTCAATTCTCGGACACGGGAGGCTGCTTTAACACGTTTTTCACATTTGCGGCCCTTGAAAAAGTTGAGTGAGTGAGAAAGACTTTATTTACCTTGAAGAAGATTGTTTTGGTTATAGTGTGGTACCGCTTATATAGTAGTGCGGATATTTGCGACTCCTGCGACTTACGTTCTAAGTGGTCTATACTGTAGCTATTTGGACAAGTTGTTAGATCTTCATCATAAAACAATGCACGCAAGTGAACACAGAAAAAGGAGAGAACCAGGGACTCGAGTCTGATGGCTCAGTGCTCATGTCGTCGGTTCAGTCCTTCTTTTCTGTTCATGTGTGTGCGCTGTATTATGGCTAAGTTGAAAAGCTTTACTCACATTGCTCAGTTTGAAGAAGTTGCTAAGAAACTATTTTGGCTGCTTAGAAAATTATTGGTGTGGCCTATTGAATTGGCCTTTTCATGTATATGTAATTTGGCCTTTCTTCAGCACGCTGGATCGACAGTTTTTGATGAAACCACATACAAAAAAACCTCGGTAGTGTGAACTTTTCCAGGTGGCGTGAAATATTCGTATTATCAAAACATAGACATAATATTTAGAAGCCCAATTTCGTTGTGGCTGAATGAATTTTGAAGTGTTTTGCAGATCAGTTGTTGTGTTGCAGCTGCAAAGCAACATGAAGTCGTGAACCAGCTCAACCGCCCC